AAGCGCTGTACTGGGTGGGGGGGACGCATGCGGACTGCGCCACGGGGGCCTTCGGTGGCGTTCCCCGTGGGGCCAGGAAGCGCTGCATTGTGGGGTGAGGGTGCTGATGTTGATGATGATGACGATGATGATGATGGTGATGATGAAGATGATGATGCTGATGATGATGGGAGGAGAGGAGGGAGGAGGAGGAGGAGGAGGAGGAGGAGGAGGAGGAGGAGGAGGAGGAGGAGGAGACGCGGGGACCGTCTCTTCAAATCGCGGACCCAACAACACAGGTTGGTTGGGAACAGACAGGAAGACGCGATCCGTGCGGACCGTCATGCTGTTTTTTTCGTCTATGATTCGGCGATCCTCGTAGCACTTCGATCGTAGAGCCCGCGAGCCCCCCCCGCCCGGGAGGTACCTGGGCACCCACGAGGCGCTCTTCCGGGAGGTTCGCCCCGCCCCGCCCCGCCCCTACGGGACGCCGCGCCGTCGCCGCGTGGCGCTCGGCCCTCTCTCACTCTGTACCCTACCCCCCCCTTGGTTTCGCCATGCTCGCCAAGGGAGGGAAAGGCTCCCGTACTGCTTCGCCCGTTTTCCTATTTTGTCGGCCTCCTGGGAGGCCCTCGTCGCCACTGCCGGATGAGCCTCGAAATTCTGGTCAGAACGCAGCTCGGCAGAGTCTTGGGAGCATATCCGTACCCTTCTGGCCTCGCCAGGCTCGCTTGCTGTCTGTGAGGTTTTCGCACCTTTTGTTCTGGAAGTGCGGTTCCTCCTCCTCCTGCTCCCGTTTCTGCTCTTCCTCCTCCTCCTCCTCCTCCTCCTCCTCCTCCTGCTCCTGCTCAGCCCTTCTGGCACAATTTTGTTCTTGCGGATCCCAACACTTCAGAAGTGCTGGGGGTTCGCGAGCCTGGCTACGAAGGTAACCCAGGACGGCGCCGCCCCGCAGGGCTGCCACGCCATGCCTCCTCGTCGTGCTGGCGCAGGTGCTGCGGCTGACCTCACATGGCTCTGCAGATTTTGCGTCCATCAGCACAGTGGAGAGAAGTTTTTCAACAACGCAGGAAGATATGTGTGCTATCAGTGTCGGCGCTCAAAGTCGGCTTGTTTCCACAGCTACCGTCCACCAGCCAGCCCCAGCTTCAGAGTTCCAGCAGCTGATCGTGACAATGCCACCCCATGGAGGGTTATAAAGTCTCAGCTGTTGTCTGCTCAGGAGACCATCAAGAAGCTGGAGGCTCAACTCAAGAAGCCTCGCGACAGACCTGCTGCTGCGTCTGCGAACGAGTTGGGCACTGGTGAAACTATGGAAGTGGAAGGTGATGATTTCGCACAGAGTGACCCGCCTGATAGCAAGTTCGATGAAGCTAAGGCCCGTGCACGTGTGGCTGAGCCGGAAAAGCAAATCGACATGGCCAGCAAGTGCGATGGGCTCGCATGGAGCACGCTCAAGACTGCCTTGGTCACCGAGCGAGGTGCTATCCAGGCGGACATCAACAAGCGCAAGCCAGCCGCAGCCAGGATGCTCAATTTCACGCGAAGGATTGAGGCGATGGTTGCACAAGTTGGCAAGCAGCAGAAGGCAATCGCAGAGAAGCGACTGCGAGCACAAGAAATGCAAAAGGAGATTGATGAGTCCGAGACTGCAGTGGTGGAGAAACAGCAGAATATTGCGGAGATGCGTACTCAGTCGCTGGAGGTGGCACAAGTTTCCGTCAAGCCGCCAGGGGCGCTCAATGATGAAGATGTTGGGCAGGTCGCTGTTATCGGGCTCGACGCCTCGGTGTTGGGCAATGTGCTTCGCGACCTTGGAGCAGGTGAGCATGTCGATAGGTTGGTGGAAGGCATTGCAGGTGCTCTCCCGAAGATCATCGCCAATGCCAATGTCACCGTGGTTGGCAAGGCTGTGCGTGCTGCTCCTGCTCCTGCTACTCCATCGGCCGCGGCTGCACGTGAGGCTCATGAAGCTCAACGTCAACGTACCGAGCAGGAGAGACAGCAAGCTGCAGCTGCCCAACTCCAGGTCCAGCGTGAGAAAGAGTTCGACGATGCCAGCGCCGAAGCCCTCAAGACGATGCTTGAGGCGGCAGGAGTCGATGTACCTGCTGAACACGATGGCGCCAGGTCGGCTGCTCGTAAGCTTCTGCAGTTCAGGCGAGAGACGAACTTTGGCACGTTCCATGTGTACTAGCAATATGGTCAGGAAATGCTGGTCTATGGTATTGTTGTTTGTGATGACGTCTAACGCTTACAGTGACAGCGCAGCAAACAGGGGGAGGACGAAGTCTGCTTCCACCTCGGCGTTTGCTTCACCCGATGGAGATGGGTCAATGGATACGGGAGTCTCTTCTCACATGGCACATGGCACAAGATACTATCAGGTCCAGGACACAGGGCGCAAGATGATTGGCCGCATAACCACACTTAATACTGATGCTCTGGGGCCTTCGCTACAGTACGTTAAGCAGGCGAGAGAGGCATCACTCTTAGTCCAGGACCACGAGTCGGACCAAGGAATGTTGCCCAATCTGCAGCAGCATATCAAGGACCTTGGCTACCATGGGGTGTTTGAACCTGCGAGCAGGACGGCTGAGCAAGGGCTCGGTGCCGGTGTCGCAGTGTTGGTGCCCACATACGTTATGATCACGGCACCTCCGCTACTTGCATCACTTGCATTGTGGCCAGCGAGGGCTGTGGCTGCGCAGGTCAATTGGGGATGCAAAGGAGGTGTGGTGCTGGTTTCTCTGCATCTCAAGGCTCGGTCGGCCTCGACACCTACAACCAGTCAGTATAGCTACCTTGGGCGTTCCAGCTCGCTAGCCAGGCCATGGATGGGGGGGGGCTGGAATCTTGAGCCGTATCAGGTCCGTGGTCAACAATGGCCTGAGCAGGCCCCGGCCAGGTTCCTGGCCCCTGTCGGTACAACGTGCAGGGTGCGCAATGACGCTGAGGGCAGAAGTCATGATTGGTTTTTGCTACATGAGGGGCTTGCCTCGAGAGTGGGGGCCCCAGCAATCATGGGCGACAAGATCCCGCCCACTCATGCCCCTGTGGCGATACCCTTTGCCAGCGCCGACATCGACATCTGGCTCGGGATCCCAATGGAGCCAGGCCAGCTGCCCAGGGGTTCCAACAGTGGCCGCTCCAGGTTCTCCACTGACTGGGCCCTTGTTAAGAGGGCCATTGAGGACGTGCAAGAGGCCAGCAGCCTACAGCATGCATGGGACATGGTCTTGATGGCAGTTGAGCGGGAGCTCTGTGGACGCTATGATAAGATTGGCATCGGCAATGAGGCGTTTATTGGAAGAGGAGGCCCTGTTTATACTAAGTATGTCGAGGCGCAGTGGCACCCTCGGCTCGCACGACTCCAGCATGGGCTTCAACTTCGCGCTTGGCTCCAGGCCTCAAGGTGGGCAGAGCATATGATGAAGGTTCGTATGTTTTGGAATAAAATGGTTGTTGAATTTTGTAACGAGGGCAGGAGTGCAGGTCAGTTTCATTTGCCTGGCTACGCCAGCCCGCGCCACGAGAAGGTGATAGTCACGCAGACTACGCCTGACGACGCGGCCGAAGCCTGGCAGAAGGTCAAGGCCAAGTCTCGCCCACACGCTTTCTCGACAAAGGCTCGAAGCCGACGTAGTCAGGAAGCACGTGCACTATCTGAGGCACGTCAACACGGCGAAGCTCGGGGCCCACCGATGGCGCGAGATCGAGATGGTCACAAGCGGCCACTCAAGAGCCACAGGTTGCTCACTCCTGCGGCGAGGTTGGCGCGCTCGCTGGTTGATGGGATTACTTCTTGGGGCGAGGTACACATGGCGCAAGACGCGGTGAGGCATCTGGACGATTGGACAGTCTCTTTCGTCCCAGCCGACTACAGTACCCAGCATTTTCTGACGTTGGCCTACAAGATTGTTGAGACGGCAGATAACATGATGATGGCGCACCAGAAGGCAGCAGACAAGTCTTGACAAGCGTGGCTCAGAGCTGCCTTCGAGAAGGGAAGGCCAAGGCCTTGGAGGCCGTGGTCACCCACGCTGATGACTCGCAGCCTTACCAGCTTGCTGATCGTGAGATGGATTGCCGGAGTAAAGTGTGGAGTTGCCATGATGTCTTACGTAACAAGAGGCCTTTTGATCGTGAGGGTTGGGGTCCCCCCCCCCCCCCACGCTCAGGCCAAATCATTTCCAGCACGCAGCACTGACTTCTTCGTGGAGCACGTCAGTTGGACCTACTCGACTGCATCCCCGTGCGTTCTGGTATCTGTCTCAGTCAGGGCTGGTTACGTTGTGCGCTCTTTTCTACGGCGTGTGAGACGCTGATGGTGTGGCCCGCTTCTCGTACATCCAATGCGATGATTAGACTAGCAGAGCCAGATGGATGTACACGTTTGATTACCTTAGTTGAGAGCTTAGTCAAGTCATGGTCCAGATCACGACGGCCACTCTCGCGCATGTGGATTCGAGATCATGGCAGTCGACATTTCTGGGGCAATCGTAGAGGGTACTCGTCGAGTTTCTCCGCAAATGAGCACAACCTTCAGGCAGAAATTGCTGATCGACTAGGTGAATGTTCGATCTCACTTGTTCTAGATATGTGGAACTGCTTTGAGACGGTTATATATGAGTCCCTCGGCATAGCGTCTACCCACGTGAAGTTCCCCCATCAGGCTCCTCTGGGTGCTTCTAGATTCCTATTCGCAACCTCGTGTCATGCGTGCGTTTGGGTGCTGGGGCGAGTCCTCTCGGGCCATGCAGGGGGCCTTGGCAGGGTGTGCACATGCTACCACGCTACTGTCTATACTTACTTCAAGGCCACCCAGGTCAGCCCCAATGTGGACCCAGGGGCCTCGGTCGATGACTCGACTCTGCAATGGACGGGGGCCAAACATGATAATGCCAGAGAACTGCTCAGTGGTCCCCAGAGCTTCGTGAAGGACGCGGCTAGGTTAGGGCTGCTTCACCAGGTCAAGATGTCCGGTTGGGTTTCCACGGCTGCTTCAGCTAGACATGGGTTCGGGAAGCTCGCTCAGAACATCAGCTTGAAGGCCAAACATTGGGCCAGGAATCTTGGGCATGAGCTCGGCGGGCCCATCCCCTGTCAGGAATCAGGCCAAGGCCAGGCTGAAACAGCCAGCCGGGCGAGTGCCCAGACTTAAGTTGTTTCGACGTGGAGCTAGCAACCGTGTTTCACTTCTGTGGAGGACGGGTCTTATGCCTGCTGCAGCTCGTGGAGCTACTGTCTCTGGCGTCAGTAAAGTTAAAGGCAGACTGCTGCGACGCCTGCTGGAAGGGCCAGAGGTGGGGCGTAAGGGACTCTCGAGGAGCCTCACCAAGTTGCTCTCTGAGGCCCCCGCCCACGGCCACAAGTTAGCTAGTACGCAAGTAGGTGATGAGAAGCTGCCCCTAGTGTTCTGTATGCTCTGTGGTAGCTACTCGCAAGAAAAAGTTCGTAATCTGGCAGGGAAGTGTGATCCTAGGGAACACAGTGCTGGTGCCAGTGTGCTGAGTAGGCTCAAGCGTGGCCTTCATCCTCAGCGTAATGTTCCAGTTTCTTGTGCGGCCCCTGAACGTCCTGCGTCAGGAGCGGCCGTGCGTGCCTTTGCGACCGCTTCGCGGGTACATCTCATACCTCCGTGCTCGTCTCACTTGGCGTGTTTGGCCCCTCTGAGGGCTAGGATTGCTGAGAGAGAAACGGGGGTGCGGGTGGACTGTGGGAGTGGTGGGCGGGAAGGGCAACAAGAAGCTCTAGGAGTGCAGAGACCTGCACCTGGAGATGAAGTTTTTGATGTTCTGTTCGAGGCTGAGGAAGCCGAAGCCCGAGTTTGGTAGGAGGTCAGGGAGCCTGGTGCAGCGACAGAGGCTCCCGTGCAAGGCACCTCCGCTGTGTCTGACCCCCGTGCGGAGATGAGGGATGTGTCCGACTTGCTGCGTAGCGAGGAGGATGTGGCTCCTCTGATTCCGAACCGCCCTGAGGGCTCGGAGTCGGGGTCAGACTAATGCCTGGGGGACTGGCGCGTGGCCAAGGGACATCCTCCCTCCTTGGGAAATGAGTCCGTGGTCGCTTGCTGGCCCTTTTCTGGCGTTAGTTTCAGAGGTGGCTGCCCAGGCAGCCGCTTTGTCAAACAGGTCAGGCCGCAGTGCCCCCCCCCCCCCAAAAAAAAAAGACGCCTGCTGGAAGACCCAGCAAATAGTCCTCCCTCGCGCTTGCCCTTGATACTCAGGCTGGCGCCAAGTACGCCCCGATACATGATGCTGCACATGACCCGCTTCGAGCATGCGCGTCGCTTATCTGGAACCACGGGGAAGTCTTGGGAGGCTCCAGAGGGTTTGGCAGAGGTCTCGAGAAATATTCATGGACAGGCCAATCTGGACATCAGCAAGATGTCCAATAGCAGTATTGATGTTACCGCTGGCGAGGATAAGCTGGGGCAGGTACTCTAGCACGGTCCTGGTCAGCGACCTGGGCCACCAGCTTGACCTCCTTCGTCTGCCTCCGTGTTCGATCGTGGAGCTTGCGCGCCAGGGCATTGAACGTTGGCAAGCCATCCAGATTTTATCGCACCACAAGGATGTCTGCGTGGGAGGGGAGATTATTTGGACGAGGATGCCGAGGAAATGCATAGGAGGAGGGAAGGCTGTCATCAAGAATGAGAGATTCGCTGGTGCACTTCGAGCTTTGTGGTCTGGGGCATTTTGGTCACGAGACCGTCTGGCATGAGCTGGCTACAGAATTTCGCCCGCTTGCTGCTGGTGCTCTGCTGCTACGGCCACGATTGGGCATGAGTTCTACGAGTGCCCCGACTCCGATCATGATGTATATGATGGTCCCACTTCGACTTGGGACCCAGATCTCGAGTATGTGCGCTCTTTCCTCCAGGCTAAAGGGCAGCCTGAGGGGTGGACACCAAGACTATGATTACTTCGAGACCTCGGTTGGGATGCCCCTGAGCCCACCTGTGCCTCCTTATGAGGAAGACAAGCTGCCTGTTGAGTTTCAGCGACGGTTTGCTCGCACTCGGCATGCGCATCGAAGGTCGCTCTTACCCGAGGTGGAGATCGGGCGCGTTTCTCTGCTGGAAGAATGTTCAAGCATAGTTAAACAACAGTATGGGTTGAAGTCGGGCGTGTAGGCGGAATATTCCAAAATAGTTCAAATAATAGCCTGGGGGCCATTGTTTTCATGATGTTCTATATGTTTTGCGGATCTTCCTGAGTATTTCTCCTTTGTCCTCCACAATCCGCCTGTAGGGGGACACGCCCGACCTAACCCAGGGTCACTCTTGCGCGTAGTCGACCTTCAGGGACCGCGTATTGAAAACATCAGGACGTCGCCTGTTTGGGGGTAGACCCGCAGAGAGGGGCCAGTGCCCCGGCGGTGTCGCTGCTTTCCTGGAGCCTGTCGCAACGCGCTCAGCAGGCGAGGCTACATGAAGCGTTCCAGAGAGGGCCTCGCCTTCGAGTGTCGGAGGAGCGGTCATCTCTTCCTCAGCGGAAGGCGGCGGAATGTCGGCGGAAGTAAAACGAGGCCGCATCCGCTGGCGGGAGCTGGCGGAAAGCTAGTTGAAGCCGGCGGAATCAAAAGTCGACCTCCCAAGAGATGACAGCATGTTTGGGTTCAGGGTTTCCAGAACCCGTCATATAGGCCGAACGCGTTCAGCAAGCGAAGCTGCATCCGGTGTCGGCAGAGTCCCCGAGGGCCGACTGACTGCCCTGTCACACGCACACTCAGTCCAGGGCTACAGCAGGAAAAGCGACCTCATCATCATCAGCATCATCATCATCATACAGCGACTTGATGGCATTTGTGGGCCTGTGTTGCGGCCGTATCTTTTCGCTCAAGTTCTTGACGGAATGCATGCCCTGTTCGAGCGAGTCGCGCAGGACTTCGCCAGCGCTCTTTCCACGGCCATCGTTGTGCGCGGCAGCAGCCTGCCGTGCCCTGCCTGCGATTGCGCGTGCTCTCCCCCGCTCCACTGCCCGGCACTGGAGTGCCGCCGCCCGAGCGGCCAGGGCCTGCTCGCGGCGAGCTCCCCCGCCGGCTGGTCCACGGGCTTCGTGGCGGGCGCGGCGGTTGTCTCGCTCGGCTTCGGCGCGCCGGGAGGCGGACTCCTGACGGCGAGGGCGCGGGGCGTCTCGGCGGCGAGCGGGAAGCTTGTTATGTTTCCCTTCGCGGCGCCCGAGCCCACCCTCGACCTGGCCACAGCGGCGGCCGCGCAGGCTCGCAGCTTCCGTCGCGGCTAGGCTTCATGGCGGCGCCCGCCGCAGGCCAGTTCCACATGGCGCGGCGCAGCGTCGGCGGGCCCGGGATCTACCATGAACGCCTGACTGCTTGGATACATCTTCGCGCCAGACGGCGACCGCTGCCCAGAGGCCAGCGTGGCGGATCGCGACATCCGATCCAGTCACGTTCTCAGTGGGCAGGGTGAAGGCTTGCCAGGCGTTCCAGTCAATCACCTGTATCAGTTTCGGCAACTGCCTCGAGCTGCTGACGTGTGGGCGGCGTTTCGACGCGCCGTGGCCCTGGGGTTCGGCGTGCTGCCCGCCTTTCCGTTCAACGTCGACCTCAGCGCCACCACCGTGCCGGGCCTGGCGGCGGGGCCCCTCGCGCTGCCCGACCCCGCAGCGCCGCCGCCCGCGGCTGGCGCAGGCGCTGCGGCCGCCGCGCTGCCCGCTCCTGGGGGCGGCGCGGCGCCGCCTGGGGCGGGCGCCCTGCCGGCGCGCTGCCCGCGCTGGCGGCCCCGCCCGCCGCAGGGGCACCTGGAGGCGGAGGCGGCCTCGGAGCTCTGGCGGCGGCGCTTGGGGGCGGCGCCCCCGCGCCCGCGGCGGCTCTGGCAGTTCCCCTTGGCGCGGCGGCTGGCGCCGCCCTTCCTGCGGCAGCGGTGGCTGGCGTCGACCCTCGCGTGATGGCGCTTGTGCTCGACGGCCGCGTCTTCCGCGACATCGCCTTCAGTGATGCGGTGAAGCTGCAGACGGAGACGGTGCGCGCTGACTGGCCTGTGAAGGGCCCGAGGACGTTGCTCCGGGTGCTCGGCTTCATGCTCCGCATGGCGGGAGGAGCCATGGCATGGCACAACCGCTGGATCGCGATGGCGCAGCTTGGCGAGCACGACGAGAACGTTGAGCTGCACGAGACGCTTTGCCGCGTGATCGAGACCGCCCTCTGCCACGACCTGCTGGTCATCTGTGAGCTCGCCTCGTACGAGTACCTCGCTCGGCAGCTGCAACTGGCGGAGGAGCGAGCGTTCGAGGATCGCACCAGGAGGTCGCAGCCCGCGCCCAAGGCGAAGGCGCAGGCGAAAGAGGCCCCCCCTGCCGACTCCGCCTCGGAGGTCGGCCACCTCCTCGGCACGGGCGAGACCAAGGGAAACTTGTGCATCTGTCCCGCCTTGATGGACTGGATCGCAGTGCAGATGAAGATGGAGGCCGCTGTGGCCAAAGAACGACGCAAGGCTCGTGAGCAGCGGGCCTTGCGGGCGCCATGACGTTCCCTCGGGACCCTGGTCAGGAAGGGCCTCACGAGTCGACTGCCACGCTTGGTGGGTCTGGCCAGGTCAGCCCAGAGGCCCTCGCGCCTCCGCCCGGCCTGGAGGCGCCCAGACGCGGTGCCGATCGTCAGCAAGATGTTATTCCGCTTCCCCTTCTTCCCGTGGATGGGCGCCGCCATCTACCCCTCGGTCGCGCGGCCCGTCTTCGAGCTGCAAAAGGCGCGGGCTGGCGAGAGTGGTGCAACGAGGGGGTGTCCGCTCTCAACTGGCTCCATTGCGGCAGCGCGTCCCAGGAGAATGGTAGCGCGCCCGCGGAGCAGGCAGCCTCGGTGGAGCACCTCGCGGGCCTGCACCGTGAGTTCGAGCTGCCTGCCGCCTGTTCGGAGAGGAGCAGTGCCTGCGAAGCACCCCTGGTAGAGATGCTCGCTCAGGCGCCTGGCTGCGCTGGCGACGGCGGTCGGGCGCGCCCCTGCAGCAAGCCCTTGGTGGCCTGGCCCCAGTCGACGAAAGCCGCGCCCACCTGCGACGTCGTCTCGGAGGCAGATTCCATCGTGCTGCAGGGTTGGAGGCAGACTATACTGAATCCCGAGTCGGTTGCAGCGGAGCTTCGGGACGCGCCGGGTATCGACAGCCCGCGCGTGGGCCCTGAGCTGCACTCTCAGCCTAACGCTCAGTTTTTGAAGCAGCTGGAGGCCCACGACATGATCACATGGTGGGCCGCCAGCCCTTAGTCCTTTCACTCGATCGGTTTATTCTTTTTGTAGAAATCCAATCGCACGCTCAGGCTCGCGTTCGACACGCGGCTGGCCAATTGCAGCAGTTTCGCAGCCCCGCCAGCCACCAAGCTTCCCACGCCCAGTGCGTGGGCCAGTGTCGATTGCGATGACAGCTTCGTGTTCGCTCAAGGGGGCATTCAGTGTGCTTTCTACCACTTACGCTTGACCGCAGGGATGGAGTCTTTGTTCCCGCTGCCTGCGATCTCCAATAGACACATCGGTCTCAAATCCATCAACGGGGCCCCGATCGGTATCAATGACTTTGTCCAGCCTTTGGTCACAGTTGTTTGTATGGGATGAAGTTGTGCGCTGCACTTGTGTCCGAGCGGCCTTGTCCGAGTTTTATCCGATGCTGGTTTCGAAGGCAGTGATATGATCATGGATGGTGGCAGCCCGCGTCCTTTAGTCTCCCGCAGTGATGCTACACGCGCGGGATATGTTGACAACTTCTGCGTCGTGTCTGAGAGCCCCGAGATTGCCGCCAGTCGCGCGCGTGCTGTGGCCGACCGTCTTACCTCTAGAGGTCTGCCTGTCTTGGAGTTTTCGGAGGCCTCCAGTAAAGAGGTATTCGCAGGGCTGCAGTTTGACGGCCTCTCGGGCACCATCCGTGTTCGCCCCGATCACTTCACTCGCACTCGCCAAGCCGTTCTTGGTCTCCTGCGACGCGGGCGGGCCTCTGCGGGGGCCCTCAGCGCATTGGTAGGCCAGCGCGCTTGGGGTATGATCTTGAGGCGGGACGTCCTGGCCATCTTCAAGTCGGTCTATCGGTTCATCAACGTGGCGGGTGCTCAGCCGGCGCCCCTTTTGGGGGTCTGTGGTGAGGGAGCTGCGGGACGCGGTCGCCCTGGTTCTTCTCTGGAGTGCCTCTACCAGGTCCAGGTGATCTTCACGGGTCCATGCGTCCGACGCGTCGCCGCACGGTGAGGGCGCGCGCATCAAGAACGCCCCCCCCCCCCCGACTTGGTGCCCGAGGTCGGCCGCGCCGCCGAGAAGCGGAGGCACCGCTGGGGCTCCAGCGCGCTCGCGAGGTCCCATGCTTTCGACGCCGTCGACTCACACCGTGATATCGCTGATCGTTGTTCGCCTGTTGGCGCTTGCCGAGTCCACCCCTGCAGCCCCGCTCAGACCTGTCAGAGTCCCCCGGGGGTTCCTGAGGCCGTCTTCGGGCTTGACAACTGGAAGACCATCCATTCGAGCAGGCATGCTCGTTTGGGTTGCGGCATCCTGCAGCGTGAAGCCGACGCCCTCGGGTTTACTGCGCATCGCACGTCCAGAACTCTGGGGGCCCACATTGATCGCGTCGTTTGCCTAGTCGGCAACTTGGCTCTAGCCCCCGCCGTCGGCAAGGGGCGTTCTGGCAGCCCGCGCCTCGTGCGCGCCCTGAGGCGCCTCTCGGGCATCACTCTGGCACGCGGGCTGCTGGCGCCGGTGCGCCGGGTGCCCTCTGAACGGAATGTCGCCGACAAGCCGTCGAGGGAGGGCTTCTTCGTCGGGCCGAGCTTCGAGGACTACCTCTCAGGGCAGGTGGCGAGGCGACCGCGGCAGCCCCAGGGAGGTGGTCACATCCGCGAGGGCTCGGAAGACCCACCCAGGGCCCGCCAGCCTCTCGCGAGGGAACCTGTCGGCGCTGGAGGCGTCAGCCGTCGTGTCCTCCACGGGCAGGAAAAAACGCGCCTCCGCCCCGAAGTTTCTGAGCTGGTGCCTGTGGGCCGCGAGGGCCTTCGACGCCGGCGCCGAGCTCGACGCCGCGCTGGCGGTGCACTTCGTTCACCTGTTCTTGAACGGCTACGACAGCGCGACGGGCCGCGCCACGCTGGCCGCGCTGAAGCACCACCTCCCCTCGATGCTGGTCGACAGCAGGCCGCTGCCGCGGGCCTTTCGAGCGCTCCAGGGCTGGGCGAAGCTCGCCCCGCCGCAGATGCGCTTGCCGCTCCCGCGCGTGGCCATGTTCGCGATAGTGGGCGTCCTCCTGGCCCAGGGCTGCCTCTCGGAGGCGACCATCGCGCGGCTCGCGTTCGACGCGTGCCTCTGCCCGAGCGGGGCCAACCGCCTGACGGCCGCCTCGCTGATCGCCCCGCGAGTCGGATCCAAAGAGGGATACCAGCACTGGGCCACCCTGGCGAACGACGCCGCCAGCGGGAGGCCCAGCAAGACGGGGGTCACGGACGATAGCGCGATCGTCGACGAGCCCTTGTTGCGGCCGTTGCTTGCCTCCTTCCTTCAGGGGCGCCGTTCCGAGGCGAGCTTGTGGAGCTTTTCGCCCGAGCAGGCCCGCCAGGCCGTCAAGGCGGCCATGGCGATGCTCCAGCTCGACGGGGAGCAGACGTCGCTGTGCTCCCTGCGCCACGGAGAGGCGCCCGACGACCTGCATCCGGGTCGTCGGACGCGGGAGGAGGTCAAGGACCGCGGCCGCTGGGGGACGGATCAGTCTCTGAACCGCTACGCCTAGCGGGCTCGGATGCAGCAGCGGCTGGGTCAGCTCGCACCTGCGCCAGCGGTGTTCGGAGAGGGTCGAGGCCAACCTGCTGCAGCTGATGGAGGAGAAGGCTCGCACGGGCTTCTTCCCTCTGCAGCTGCCTCCGCCCCTCCCCGCGTCAGCGCCGGCTCCTGAGAGACCGCCGCCCGCGCTGACCGATCAGTGGAGCTTCGTGCGAGCAGGCTGTGGCGTCGTGCGCGACGGCACGCTTCTGTCAAGCCGTACCTCGTGACCCTGTGCCTCTGCGCGCCCACTCGCATTCGTTTAGCCCGTGAATCTCGTTGGCTCGAAACCGTTGCTCTCAACCTTGCTCGTCATCGGCTTGACGACGCTGGCGGCCCGCGCGTGCTGAACGTGCTGCTGGGCTGGGTGCGTTCCTCGGCGGTGCTCGGCCTGTGGGCCTCTGTGCCGTCGGCCACCTGGAGGTCAGGAGCGGCCCGCCTGCGCCGCCTGGACGCCCCCCTGGAGGGGGCGAGAGTCTCTGAGCTCGATATGCGTGCCATCCGTGCTGCTAAAACGCTCTTTCCGCTTCCATTTTCAGGCTGGTCGCAGAGTGTACTACTCGTAATGTACCTGTGATTCTCGTGCGCCCTGAAGTGAGCTTGAGTTGGAAGCATCCCCTCCTTTCCCAGCTCCCTCCTCCTCCTCTTCTTGCCCCCGCGACTCCTGCATGTTTTTCGGGGTGCCTGAGACAGATATTGCTCCTGGTCGGATGGGGCGTTCGGAACCTCGGCCGCGTCTCGCGTCTTTGCCTGTGCTCCCAAGGCTTGTGTGACCGCACGGGCCGCCGTCATTTGGGAGGCCTTGGGCGTCCTGCGCTGGATGCCGTTGCTCGTGCCTCGACCTGTGGGCGCCCCTTTGAAGTGGCCACCGCAGGCACTGACATGATAGTGGCAGCCGCTCGGCAGCTGTCCCGAGCCGCCCGATATAACACGGTTTTTGGTCAATGAAGTGTTTCGGCTGGGGCCGTGTGTGGAGGCGAGCGTCTAGTACCGAGTCCGCGCTTCTCTGGCTAGCCTGTGGTCTCGAGGTGCCGTCGCCATCTTGCACAAAAAGTGCTCGCATGGCCTCGAGTGAGCCCCACATACAGCGACTTGTCGGCATGTGTGGGCATGTGTTATGGCCGTATCTCCTCGCTCAAGTTCTTCCCTGGGCCTTCCCGCCCACTTGAGCTGAATTTCACCGTTTGCCGAGTCTGCGCTTCTCTGGCTAGCCTGTGCTCTCGAGGTGCCGTCGCCATCCTGCACAAAACGTACTCGCGCGGCCTCGAGAGAGCGCCACATCAGCATCAGCATCATCAACAGTAGCATCATCATCATCATCAGTACACTTGTCATCATCATCGTCGTCATCATCATCTCCATCATCATCATCATGTTCATTACCATTATCATCACCATTGTGAGTATCATCGTCATCAACATCGTGATAATCATGAGCACCACCATAAACATGATCCTCATTAGCAAAATCATCAACATCATCATCGTCACCGCCATCGTCGTTATCATCACACCAACATCGTTATCATCAACGTCAGCATCACCATCAGTACCATCATCATAATCATCATCAGCAGCACCAGCATCATCATCATCATCATCATCCTCATCATCAGGCCGACCTCCTAAAACATCAGGCATATCGTTCGTTGCGATTCCTCCGATTCGACTCGATTCGACGTCGATGTCCTCCAGTTCCGACTCGATTCCACCCGGGATTCCCATCAGTGCTCACCCATTTCTCACTGGAAGCGTAGCAGGCTGCATATTCCCGACGATGAGGAAGATAAGAAGAAGAAAAAGAAAACGCCATAAACATAAACTTTTGGTGCTCCTCTCCGATTTCTTGGATCCGCGCCGGACCCCCTTCCCTGGCGCGGGGAGCGCGCTAAGGGCGGCGCCGGAGGCGCCGCCAGACGGGGCCCGGCGCGGATCCCAGAAATCCGCGCGGAGCGCCACTTGTTTCTGTTTGTGGCTTTTCTTCTTATTCTAACGATGCGACTTTTCCCGACTCGGCTGCAGATCTGCCGATCCGTTGCACTCCGATCGCCGATCCGACCTGTCGATTCGATTCTTCTCGGCTCTGTCCTGGGGGCCGGCCCGCGGAGGTTGGCGGAAGCTGAGCATCCGCGGCTATCGCCGCTATCGCCAGCGGGGTCTTGGCGGAAGCTGGCGGGGAGCAGGGGCCAGACATGCTCGCGTTGTCCTTCTTATAATTTTTTGGGGCTCTCCTGCACCCCGGGTTCAGCCAACGTATCATCCCTCTGCTCGTGGCTGCTGGCCGCTGCCGTCTTCCCCGCCGCGGGCACGCCGCATCCCATCGAGTGTTGTCCCCAACCAGTCGCGCCCCAAGAGGTGAGCCACATGTGGTCCCGCCTGCACGGCTTCGACGTCGAGTTCGTTCGCGTGAACCACCAGGGCATCTACCGGGGAGACAACCCTGGCGCCGAGGAGGCTCGGCAGGGCTCCGCCTGGACGGGGCTGTGGGAGCACGATGCAACGCTGCTGCACGTCTTACGACGAAGACTGATCGGTGGGCCTACAGATGGGTTGATCCATGGGCGGCGGGAGGGAGGAAGGATGGTGAGAAGAATGAAAGTTCTCGTTTTGGTGGCCGTGTGCAATTAACCCTCGTGCCGCCTGGGGCGAAGTGTTGCAGCGCCGCTTGCCTGAAAGCTGACATCAGCTTATCCTGACGACGGTTCGGCGTCGGCTACATAGTACGAGAAGTGTTACAAGCTCTTCCGCTGTACTGCTTATTTGAGGCTGGCAAACGAACTCAATTCGGCGGCCTCCCACATCAAAATGAGAATTTTTGGCTTGGTGCCGTAGTGCCTCTTGACGGCTTGTGCTGTCCGCTGTCTAGTTATATTGGGATAGTTTTGCGGTCCCGCGTGAGCTTGAGTTTTGGATAAGGGCGCCGACACGTCTGGGCGCCTGATCCTTCGAACTCATCAGCCCCAGTGTTGCTGGCCGTGAAGCTTCCAAATTCACGGCATTCCTGGAACCCGACAGCGGAAAGTGCCTTCGGCAAAGACACGGGCTCGCGCGACCCCCAGGCAATTAACGTGCTCGATAATTACAACCAGGGTTACTGTCCAGCTGCGTGCGCGAGTAGCCCAGCTCATTCTTCGTACCTCTTTCCTCCTTCTTCGCATTTCGCCTACGAGTGCGACTACTAGTACTGGTATGTATACATTTTGCTATTGATACTCTTATTTATTTCCCCATACCCTAAGATGGGATTATTGTTATTACTTGGACGCCTCCTGCTCCTCCTCCTCCTCCTTCTCCTGCTCCTCCCTTCTCCTCCTCATACCCAGACTTACGCACACACAGACTGACTCACACTCAGACTTGCTCATACCCAGACTTACCCACACACACAGAAGCACTCATACTCAGACCTACTCATACTCAGAGCTACTCCTGCTCAGACCTACTCCTGGCGAGACTCACCGACGCGCCGTTCGCGGCCGTTTTTTGTGGGGGAGGACGCCTCGGGCGGGGCGCTGGCCTCAGCCCCCCTAAGGGGAGGCCGCCAGGTGTGTTTTCACGGCCCCGCTCGCGGTCGTGTTGTGGTGGTGTCTCAAGCGGTTTGCGTGTTATTTGTCCCGACATCTTTTGCTTTCGGAGCAGATGTGGAGGATGTCTCGGGCGAGGCGCTCATTTCCAGCATCCCTGAGGGGAGCCGCCAGGGGTGTTGTCACGGTCCCGTTCGCGGGCGTTTTGTGGGGATGTCTCGAGCGGTTTGCTTGTTCCCCATATCCTAAGTATGGGGTTCTTGTTATTCCCCACATCCTAAGTATGGGGTTCTTGTTATTCCCAATATCCTAAGTATGGGGTTCTTATTATTGGCGGACCGCGCCGGAGGAGAGAACGAGAGAGAACACACCACTCCTCTCACTCACTCAGACCCGCTCACTCATCACTCAGACTCACTCATCACTCAGACCCACTCATTACTCAGACTCACTCATCACTCAGACTCACTCATCACCCGGACTCAGTCATGACTCAGACTCATCACTCATCACTCAGACTCACTCATCACTCAGACTCACTCATCACTCAGACACACTCATCACTCAGACTCACTCGTACTTGTACTCGTACATTCACTACACTCACTCAGGTCCACTCATCGGATGACTCACACACACTGATGTTGAGGATGTCTCAGGCGATTCTGTAGCTTCAGCACTCCTAGGGGGAGCGGCGGGGGGGTGTTTCACTCGGCCCCTTTCGCCGGATTTTGTGGGGATGTCTCGAGCGGTTTGCTTGTTTTCTGTCCCAACCTCATTCGCTTTCGGAGCAGATTTGGAGGATGTCTCGAGCGAGGCGCTCATTGTTACGTTCCTAAGGGGAGCGGCGGGGGGGTGTTTCACTCGGCCCCTTTCGCAGGATTTTGTGGGGCGCGGTTTGCTTGTTTTCTGTGCCAACATCCTTCGCTTTCGGAGCAGATTTGGAGGATGTCTCGAGCGAGGCGCTCATTTTCACCCCCCAGGTGGGCCAGATTTTGAGGATGTCTCGATCGGTTTGCTTGTTTTGGTGGCCAGGCTCGTGGGCGCAGATTCTTCTCAGGATGCCACAGGAGGCTCCAACAGGCTCCAGGAGGCCCCAGGAGACCACATGAGGTCCCAGGAGGCATCAGGAGGCCACAGAAAGACTCAAGAGGCCACAGGATGTCCCAAGAGGCTCCAGGAGGCCCCAGGAAGCTCCAGAAGGCCTCAGGAAACCACAGGAGGCCCCAGGAGGCAACAGGAAGCGCCAGGAGGCCTCGGAAGGCAACAGGAGGCCCCGAGAGGCCCCAGGAGCAGGAGGCCTCAGAAGGCAACAGGAGTGGCTCCAATCCCATGTGTTTTACGTCTGCTCCTATCGATTGGGCCTCACCTGGAGCACGATCATTTGATGTTATACGTATGTTTCTATAGATTGTCCTTCTCCTGTGTACACAATCCTACATGTTGTACTTATGTTCCTATATATTGGGCCTCTCCTGGGCCACGAGTCCTTTGTGTTTTACGCGTGTTCCTATACATTGCCCTTCTCCTGTGGCTCTAATCCGCGATGTTTTATGTACGTCTGTTGCTATATATTGCGCCTCTCCTGGGGCACGAAACCTCCCTAGGAGGTCCCAGGAGGCCCCAAGAGGCTCCTGGAGACCCCAGGAAGCCCCAGTAGGCTTCAGGAGGCCCCAGGAGGCCCCAGGCTCATGCACAGAGACGCGCTCGTACTACTGAGGCTCATTCACACTCCAATTCATTCGCAGTTGGATTTATGGCCAGACCGTCACAAGCGAAGCCCGTTTATATTCGAAAGCTCTTGCGCCTAGACGTTCACGGCGGACAGGTCCATGCGAATAGATGCACATTTGGGGAGCTCCACGCAGAAAATAATTGGCGGGCCGCGCCGGAGGAGAGAGAACACACCACTCCTCTCACTCATACCCACTCACTCATCACTCAGACTCACTCATCACTCAGACCCACTCATCAATCAGACTCACTCATCACTCAGATTCACTCATCATTCGGGCTCATTCATGACTCAGACTCATCAGTCATCACCCAGACTCACTCATCACCCAGACTCACTCATCACTCAGACTCACTCATCACTCAGAGTCATTCGTACTTGTACTCGTACATTCACTACAGTCACTCAGGTCCACTCATCGGATGATTCACACACACACGCACTGATGTTGAGGATGTCTCAGGCGATTCTGTGGCTTCAGCACTCCTAAGGGGAGCGGCGGGGGGGTATTTCATTCGGCCCCTTTCGCAGGATTGTGTGGGGATGTCTCAGGCGGTTTGGCCATTTTCTCTTCCAACATGTTTCGCTTTCGGAGCAGATTTGGAGGATGTCTCAGGCGATTCGCTGGTTTCAGCACTCCTCAGGGGAGCGGCGGGTGGGTATTTCACTCGTCCCCTTTCGCAGGATTGTGTGGGGATGTCTCAGGCGGTTTGGCCATTTTCTCTTCCAACATGTTTCGCTTTCGGAGCAGATTTGGAGGATGTCTCAGGCGATTCGCTGGTTTCAGCACTCCTAAGGGGAGCGGCGGGTGGGTATTTCACTCGTCCACTTTCGCGGGATTTTGTGGGGATGTCTCAGGCGGTTTGGCCATTTTCTCTTCCAACATGTTTCGCTTTCGGAACAGATTTGGAGGACGTTCGCGCCCTGTTTGCGGGGATGTCTCAGGCGGTTTGGCCGTTATGATGTTGGGCATTTGTCGTTTTCGGAGCAGTTTTGGGAGGATGTCTTGGCGATTTGCTGGTTTCAGCATTCCCAAGGAGGAGGAGGAGGAGGAGGAGGAGGAGGAGGAGGAGGAAGAGGACGAGGAGGAGGAGGAGGAGGAGGAGAAGGAGGACGCGAGGAGGAGGAGGAAGAGGACGAGGAGGAGGAGGAGGAGGAGAAGGAGGACAGCATGAACACGGTAGGAGCAGACACAGGAAGGGGAGGATGATGATGATGATGAGGAGGAGGAGGAGGAGGACGTGGGCAACTCGAGTAGCCAGGGCCAGACGATCGAGGTTCGATGTTCCAAAGCTTTAGGTTTTACTCAAACGCTTCCGCCTCAATCTCCTTCGCTCTCCGCTCTCCTTCACTCTTCTGCATTCATACGCACTCATACTCAGACTCAGTCACACGCAGGTTCACTCGCACTTAGACTCCCTCATATCCATACTTAAACTTACTCACACTCAGACTCACGCTCAGAACCACTCATACTCAGATTCGCTCCTGCTCAGACTCATCATCCTTCGGTCTGCTCAAACGCAAACCGACTCACACTCAGACTGCCTCACATCCATACCCAATCACACTCGGCTCACTCGCACTCAGATTCATTAACACACACTTTTTCTCACACTCAGACCCACTCAAGCCCAGACTCACTCATGCTCAGACTCATCATGCTACGATCCGCTCAATCACAGACGCTCACACTCAGATTCGTCCATACTCAGACCCACTCGCACACAGACGCACTCGTGCTCATATTTGCTCACACGCACACCCATTCAAACCCAGGCTCAATCGCACCCAGATTAACTCACACTCAGAATCAGTCGCTCACAGATTTGCTATTGGTCGCACCCATGCTTGCAGACTGTGGGAATGTCTCGAGCGAACGGTTCGCCCTCGCACACAGGCGCTCATTGACAGATACCAAGAGAAAGACGTACCAAGAGAATGAGATGCACATATGGGAGCCCCGCTTCGAGTAATTTTCTGTCCCAGCATCCTTCCCTTTCGGAGCAGATTTGGAGGATGTCTCGAGCGAGGCGCTCGTTTTCACGTCAGTAAGGGGAGCCGCCAGGGTTTTTTTCTCGGTCCCGTTCGCGGCCGTGTTGTGGGGATGTCTCAAGCGGTTTTCCTGTTTTCTGTCCCAACATCCTTCGCTTTCGGAGCAGATTTGGAGGATGTCCCGAGCGAGGCGCTCATGT